GGGACCAAGGGATGCTATTTCCAGTCAAATGACCCTGGATAAGGAGACCATCCGGTTACAGAGACCACATTTTGAAGGTCCCTTGAGCACTAGGTCGTCTTAAGCAGGTTTCCCGGTGTATTCACTGATCAGGTATACTTCAAAGTACATACTCTTGCATACTACGGAACGGGTGAATTGATTCATACAGAAGCATTGAAGTAGATCAAATACAAAGTCCACTTTCCTGTTGACCGTGGATCATATTATGTGATCGGAGCTCCTGCGCAATTTCGTTGTTTGTGATTTACTGCAAAACCGCTCATGTGTGACCCAAACTTTCTCGACCAGACCACTAAACAACCCGATCCCTCAGCTAAACAAAACCCGATCCGACAGTTAAACACAACCTGATCCCACAACTAAACACAACCTGATCCCACAGTTAAACTGCTCATGTGTGAGACCATAGACTATTGCTAATCAAGAATAGAGTAAGTTGGTAAAGACGGAATTGTGATGCATTTCAAATCTCCCACTTAATTTTTTTCATGTATTCTCTCTCTGGTGCATAGCGGTCAGGGCAACATCTCCATTCCTATTGCCAGCTTCTGTTAAAAAAAATTCTTAAACATGGAGAGAGTTACATTGGAGTCTTCGAAACAGTTCTACAGTTTATGAAACTTCACTCCTGAATGCCATTCTGCAGGTTATTTTAAAAATGTCCTAAACTTTTCCAGAAGTATTAAACTGCTGATGTTCATAATCCACAACATTCTGTGTATTATACTGAAGTCCTGAACGGAATTGTAGATACAAGGGAAATGGAATTCTCCTCGGAGTTCAGCAATCACAGTCCATGGCATCAAAATTACATCACCATAATCATGACAATGTGAGCCACCACCTCACAATAACATCCCAATGACTTCATGATTTCACCATGACATCACGCAAGCATCATAATGACATCACCACAAGGCACAACATCACATTGACGTCACAGTGACATCACAATGACTTCGCCGCAGATCTGTAATACACGTACTGATAATTAGGCGGGCTGCAATATTTGGAGATAAAACCCGTGGGTGGTGGGTTGGCTGTAATTCTTTAAATATTCACTGGATTGAGGGAAAGACTAATTCTTTAATTATTCACTGGTTTGAGGGAAAGACTGTAATTCTTTTATTCTTTTAATCTCTGCAACAATAATGTCTTTTTTTACCATTGAGGAGGGAGAAATGACCCTTTTATGAAACATTCCTGACTGAATTGCATGGTGTTGCAAGGGAGCGATACACACACATGTAAGATGAGGTACTAGTTTGCTTTCATGTTTTGATAACCATGTATCTGTGTGTTAGTGTTTGGGAATGATCACGCTTTGATATTCTGTGTGCATGCGTGCAATCGTGTGTATGCGCATATCTGTGTGCATGCGTGCAATTTTCGTGTATGTGCATATCTGTGTGCATGCATGCAATTTTGTGTATGCGCATATCTGTGTGCCTGTCTCTCTTGACGTCTGTATGTATGCGCATATGTATAGCTGCTAAACGACAAACAGGGACTTCTTTCTCAGATGGCGACGTCACATGACAATCATCTCCTACTCATTGATAACAAGGTAAAGTTCTGGAGACAATCATGCTGCAGCTACTGGCAATCATTGCAGCTGGTAGTGCCACCTCGTTGCTGTGATGCCATTGCTGCTGGTGTTGATGGGGGTGATAGTGCACAACTATTGGGCCCCGAAGAACTGAGTGCTGATGAACTAGAATATCACCTAGCTCTGCATACTAATATATCCATGGTGATCCACTGCGCATAGTTTGTAGTACATTGTACAAAAAATACGAGCAGCGAAGCTTACAAGGTTGACCCCCCCTCCCTCTCCCTCCCCCCCCCCCCCTCCCTCTCCCTCCCCCCCCCCTCCCTCTCCCTCCCCCCCCCCCTCCCTCTCCCTCCCCCCCCCCCAGTTCTCCTGCAACCAACACTACTGTATTGGTGTTAGTAGTGATGGTGTTGCTGCTGCTGGTGATGCTGCTGGTGCTGGTGCTGCTGCTGCTGCTGGTGATGCTGCTGCTGCTGCTGGTGATGCTGCTGCTGCTGCTGGTGATGCTGCTGCTGGTGATGCTGCTGCTGCTGCTGGTGATGCTGCTGGTGCTGGTGCTGCTGCTGCTGCTGGTGGTGATGCTGCTGGTGCTGCTGCTGGTGCTGGTGCTGCTGCTGCTGCTGGTGATGCTGGTGATGCTGCTGGTGCTGGTGCTGCTGCTGGTGATGCTGCTGGTGCTGCTGGTGCTGCTGGTGATGCTGCTGGTGCTGGTGCTGGTGCTGCTGCTGCTGCTGATGGTGCTGGTGATGCTGCTGGTGCTGCTGGTGATGCTGTTGCTGCTGCTGCTGATGCTGTTGCTGCTGCTGCTAGTGCTGGTGCTGGTGCTGGTGCTGCTGCTGCTGCTGCTGCTGCTACTGCTGCTGCTGCTGCTGCTGCTGGTGGTGGTGCTGCTGCTGATGCTGCTACTGGCTGCTGCTGCTGCTGATGCTGGTGCTGCTGCTGCTGGTGGTGGTGCTGCTGCTGATGCTGCTGCTACTGCTGCTGGTGCTGGTGCTGCTGCTGTTGCTGGTGCTGGTGCTGCTACTGGTGCTGCAGGAGGCATGTCGATGGTCTAACAGAAAGGCTGACTTTGGCTATCCAAAGTTGGAGCTCAGCATCCCATTCCACTCAATGTTCCTACAATGCCCCGTCTGCTACGTAATCAAGGGTGTCAAAATGCTGATTGTGCATGTGTGACGTGTCCATCTTTACTCTCCTATGATCCCTTACAGGAAGATAAGCTGCTGAGCTGTCTCCGTGGTGATGCCAAGGATCTTCTGAAGAAGCTACAAGACGAGGAGATAGAGAGGAACCTGCGCAGGGTGTCTGAAGTCAGAGGCTACATCACATCCGTACGGGATAATCTCCTCTCAGATTACGATGATGACGATGATGATGACGATGTTGACATGACGAACACTGAGATCATCGAGAATGGTACGGTACCGAACGAAGAGAGATTCGAGCCATGATATGACCTACATCTGCTGTGCTTTCAACTTCCTTGTGGTCGTGGAGGTGATCAGGATGATGCGGTGATGTCATAGTGGGGTACTGTGGTGTCTCGGTGGAGAACTGTGATGTCATTGTGGTTTACTATGACATCGTGACATGGAGCCATGATCTCATGGATGTGAACTGTGGTGATGCTACGATTGTGAGTTGTGATGTCATGGCGAGGAACTGTGATGTCATGATAGTGAATTATGATGTCACTGTGGTGAACCATAATGTCATGGTGGTAAACTGTGATGTAATGGTGTCACACATTGGTGCATCCGCAACAGACTGTTTCTCATCCGTTTTTGACATAACAATAATACATGTATACATCATAGAGGGATAATATGTTAGGCGTGCTGTCGTGTGGCATAGAGATAATGTTAGACGTGCTGTCGTGTGGCGTAGAGATAATGTGTTAGGCATGCTGTCGTGTGGCATAGAGATATTGTGTTAGGCATGCTGTCGTGTGGCATAGAGATATTTTCCTGTCTTGAGTAAAACGCAACTTATGTAGTATATTTATAAACCTGCATAGCTGATGCTACTGTTGCAGAGTAGTATTTACATTCTACATGTAATTCTCACAAGACACCAAGACGGAGGACTCTCATCTGCACTCTAGTTCTTTTTAGATTAGACCAATGTAACTGTTCTAGTGTATTTGAAACCGATGACCTTAATGTGCAAGGATGTACGGACGCTGTTCACCATGTACTCCAGCCTAGGTGTGCATGACTGCCATGTTGCCATGACAATGTCTTGAACTGAGTTTAATGCGTAATAAGAAGCGACTGGCTCCTGCAGTCCCCTGTATATTGGCACATGTCAAGATGATTTTCGTTATTAATTATTTTGATCCATCTAACATAACTCGTTTCGTTGCATTACCTTTTGCAAAGTGTTCTCAAGACCATTACACGTTCCTTGTGAAAAAATGCGGATCTACCTTTGTAAGAGGGGTTGTCATCAGCTATATTTGCGGCAAGGGTGGTCATTTTATCCTCGCACAGCCCTTCAACAACTGCGTTTATGGTTTCTGGGGGGGGTGTTGATGGTTTGGTAGATTGTTTTCAGGCTTTGGCGGATAATGTTCAGGATTCAGACGAGTGCAGTAGACTCGCACACTGAAACTGAAGAACTTGGAGCCCAAGAACATGCAGCTTGAAATGCTAATAACGCCACAACCTAATGTTGAGAACGGTGGTGTTGCCTGTTGGTTTTCCGTCTGCTTTTCGGATACATAACAATAATAATTTAAATATATTTCACGGTTCGCGTGAGACTCGGCTGGAAGCCGAGTTTTCCGCATCCGCTGTGGGAACGCCACCACCCTCTAGGATCCAGGAGGGTAACATGGATGACCTCCCACCGTTTAGGCGCTGCATCTGCGCCTTGATCCTAGAGGGATACATAACAATCATGCATAACAATATCAATGGGTAACAAATCTGTTGATCCCCAGTTGATTAGTGGGTAACAATATCATTATCAAGATCCTGCACGAATTGTTTCCAAGAACGCACTGTAAGAACACAGTCAGTTTGCTGAAAAATAAGAATGTTCCAGGCTAACCCCTTGGAAACAAAGTTCTTGGACACGCGACTCTACTCTGCTGTCTGCTCAGGAAGTACTCATCTCACAGAATGTAGACATGAAGAGATATAATTAGCTGTAATGCACAAATGCAGTCAATAACATTCGTAGCAGTGGATACATGACGGGATGTGCCGCTACTCCGGCAGCAATGGTGGAATATGGTTATGACTTGGCAGTGGTCATGCGCTAACGTAACATTATGTCACATGGAACTCTTAAAAAAATCCCTATCCAGTATGGAGTTGTACATGACTAGTGAAGTAGAACAGTATGAGCACTGTCCGTAGATTGAGCACTGTCCGTAGATTGAGCACTGTCCGTAGATTGAGTCAATAATAATTATACCATTTACTTGAAGTACATGAGTTCACATCTAGGTATTAAGAGTGTATGCAGATAGCCCTGCAAGCATTACCATGCCGACGTACAGGAACAGCATCTCATGAACCACTACGTGGAAAATAGTAAAAGCAAAAACTAATGCAATGTGCACACACACACATATGCCGCACACACGCACACACACACACACACACACACACACACACACACACACACACACACACACACACACGCACACACATATACGCCGCGCACACACATACATACGTACGCACACACTAAAATGCTCTCTCTCTCTCTCTCTCTCTCACACACACACACACACGCAGGCACACACACACACACTCGCACGCACAAAACCACCAGCCAGTCTGTCATACATGCTCCGTTGCACTTCAGACCGTAACGTCGGAGCTGCAGGGAACTGAACACTTGCCAGAAGCTATTGTCCCCCGGATACCGAGGACGTTCTATTGTCCACCGGATGCCGAGGACATTCTCTTTTCCTGGTGACGCTTGGCAGATATGCGTCGCTGTGTTTCAAACGTCTTCTCCATTCCGTCCAATACTGAACACATAATACAATAAGGCCACATAATACAATAAGGCAATGCAAGAGAGCAGAAAGATGATGATTGTAATCCCACTGCGGGTGCCAAACAATTTTTGGGTTTGACTAGTATCCTGTGAGGGGTGGATTAAAACGTTGAATGAACTACTCAGGGGCGTCGGAAGGTATTTTAATGTGGTACGGTCAGCCACCTGAAGTACGATTTACTCGTGGGGGAGGGGTGGCTGAGACGAAACTCTTGTAAATTTTTGAGCCCAATGAGTGTATTTTATTGATTCACGGGGTACCTGGGGCAAATAGTGGTACGGTCAATACCGTAGTGACTTTAGCGTGTGCGACGCCCCTGCCACTTCCAGTACGCGTCTAGATGGCTCGCATCCTCCAAGGCACGGCACATGAATGTGAAGCCTCCACAAAACATCTTATACAACAAGAACACTGCCAAGATCTTGGTCGAGAGCCTGAAATGTGTCATTCTTCGAGTACATTATCGCATTCTTGCCCTCGAGGACACTGCACAGCAAGAAACAGACGGATACTCACAGTGTGGTGCGTAGCTAACGACAATTCTCACAGACGCTGCAGATACAGACCAAGGGCATGACATCAGAGAGAATAACACAGAGAACACTTCAGTCTTTCAGGTTATAGAACATGAACACATTTTTTAAAAGTCTTCAGCAGATAGACCACCTGAATCCCTGTTTTTTTAAGTTTACCGATGTGATTCAGGTTGTATAATTTTCTTTAAAAAATATATATACAGTCATACGTATCTCCCCGACACTCAATCTCTGCAAGGTGTGAGAGCTAGCTTCTTCCACCTTGCTATGTGGCATTAGCAGCACTCAGAGCTGGCTGGTTATACGCCATAAGCAGAGCTCGTTATATGCCACAAGCAGAGCTCGTTATATGCCATAAGCAGAGCTCGTTATGCCATAAGCAGTGCTCGTTATATGCCTTAAGCAGAGCTCGTTTGTCAAACGGATTGCAAGCAACCTTGTGAACAACACAGCATTACTATAGAAATTTGGCTCAATGCATCAGAATCCTATCTCCCAGTATTCTAGTCTTCTAGCCGCAAGAGAGCGGACGTACCCAGTGCAGCAAAACCGTTTCAAATCCAACACTAGCTATGACCAGGTGACTGGTAATAGCAATCTTACATTGTGAACGCCTCATTGTGCGAACCATATCTTCATGAGACATTCCGCGAATCGCCTGGGATGTAAGACACATAAGAAAACACACGCCATAAAAACACGCACCATAACACACACCATAAACAAACCGAATTTTCGTCACCACCAGTAAGAGGGCAAAAGCAAGTCTGTACAACTAGAAAAAATCTCTCAGCTTACGGCGGATGCTATTTAATGACAACAACCTTTCACAGTTACTTGAAGTACATGGATAACTATTACTCTCTTGGATAGCCGGAAATGAAAGATAGAAATCACAATGTCATGTACATCGCCATGAGTAGTCAAAGCAGAACAACGGTTTGGATGGAGTTGTCAGGCCTAGAACAACTGGGTGGCTATACCGATATTGAAATGAACAACCGACTATCTGCGCAGACTTGACACACTTCTCCCAAGTTCACCCACACAGCATATGTTATGTCACCTGCCCTCTCATTTGCACACAAGACACAATAGACCAAGGAAACACACAGTAGCAAATAAATAGCCAGACTAAAGTAAATGAAGGTTGCATTATTCAATAAAGAAACACTCAAACGAACACAAACACACAAACAAACACACACACACACACACACACACGCATAGTGAGCTGTTGCAAGTGAGAAAGCCCATACCTGTCCGTTGATCGAGAGAATCTGATCTCCCTTCTTCAGCTGACCTTGTCTGTGGAGGGAAAAAAACAAGTTCAGGCAGAGCAACTTTAAAAATAGCAGTAACAAAGGCAGGTTGGAGAGATGAGGATGATGGCGTGTGGTTTGAAGAAGTTCATAGCAGTAAAGGTGGGCACTATCAGGTTAATGGCTAACATTGCAGAAAGTCCCAGCAGCAGTGACAGCAGGAAGATTACATGTAGGACACACAGTAGAGGGTAGGGGCGGATCCAGGAAGGGTTCCAGGGGTTCCGCGGAAACTCCTACTTCAAGTAAATTTCGCAAATGAGCAACTGGCAACCATATGCGTGTCCATGTACATGTAGCTATTCAGTTTTGACTATACTGGAACACTCCCTGTAGAGATCCCTGGATCCGCAGCTGGAGGTAAGTGACCAGGAGAGCGGTGTGGCAGGGAGGTATATTTCGAAGATATAGTACACGACTAATCAACATTCCAACAGAACAACATCGGTGATACTTGATGACTGCGCTAAGCAGCCGCAGCTACAGCAGTTTTAGCAGTGACAGCCGCAACAGCAACACCAAAGCAGCAGTGACATCAGCATCAACAGCAGCAACAACAGTGACACCAGGAATAGGAAGAGTAATGGAGGCCGTAATGGCAACCAATGGGTCAACACACTAACACTAGTATCACAAACTGCAGCAGTAGTGTCAGAAGCAACATTAGGATACAATGTTAAGATCTGTTGATGTGGACAAAAAATCGGCCTCACACCCAGCTCACCTAGCAGCCACTCCACCAGGGAGTATTCTTGACACATAGATCGGCATTCCCACCGCATTTCCACCCATGATGTTAAAACCATAGCCGCTGTCGCCACGCTTGATATCCACTATGCGCGGCTCTGCATAACCTGTTGCCGTGGCGTAAGCTGCCGTGGTTACCTGGTTGTGGACACGAACAGCAAGAAGACAATCATCATCATTATCAAAACATTCACTAGCTTGAGGGAATGAAAAAGGGAAAAGTCTGAAGAAATAATTGACTGTCACCACCAAGACTCGAACCAGGGACCCTCGCCTCAGGCCAGCGATGCTCGGAGAATTTTCAACCCGGGTCGAGTGCCACCCTGTTTGAAAGTCTGTACGGTGGAAAAAAATATCGGGTGGTGCTTACATGAAAAGGGGGAGTCAATTACGGATAACTGCTGATAAAAGTCCATTTTTTTCTAGAAAAGCTAGTCACATGAATAATTTTGCGGCAAAATTGTATGTGCAATACAGTGCAATCTAGGCAGGAAATACACACAAAAGTCCAGTAACACGCTTTCTAGTTGTCTAACAGGGTTGAAATTTGAATTGTGATGCATCATTTAAATGCTTCAGTCAAAATCTGTATTCATTGCGGGTTAAAACTTGACCCGGGTGAAATTAAACCCAGGGTGCAATCTCTGATG